GAAGGGAAGGGAAGGGAAGGGAAGGGAAGGGAAGGGAAGGGAAGGGAAGGGAAGGGAAGGGAAGGGAAGGGAAGGGGTGACTCTGGGAGACACATGAAAATTCAGGGGATGCATCTGATGTCTAGTGAGGAGGAGGAGGGCACCTGATCAGAAAAAGCTGAACAGAGGAGGAGTCATTCCCTAAAGAACATGAGCATGAGAGCAAAAAGAGGAGGAAGGACTGAATGCTTTTGCTYCTTGAGAGGTWGGGAAATGGACTGCAACCTTGGACTTCATGCAAAAGGACAAGCAGTGACAAAACTCACTGCTGAGATTTCTGGCATGTGTGCCCCATTTTTCTGCTTCTAGGACCKGCACCTGCTGTGGGAGAGCCCCAAAGCTTGACCCAAGAGCAAGGTGGATCTGACCCTGCTCCCRCAGCTCAGGACTTTGGTGACAGGTTAATCAGTGCCTTGGCAGCCAGGAAAGGAAAAGCAGAAGCACAGGCGAGTTTGCTCTCGCACATGGGAGCAGCAGGAGCAGCTGCACCCTGCCAGACTTCCCTCAGCTCACCAGCCTCACTGCACAGATATGCCCACGAACCACCAGAGCTCAGCTCAGCTCTGGGAACCAGCTGCTTCCCATGCTCTGGCTGCTTGCCACCACCTTGCCCAGGGCYTGGGGAACTGTGAATCTGGGCTGTGGAGCTGCTGCAGAAGAGCTGAAATCCCCAGAGTCCTTGGCAGGGCCACCAGACCTTTGGCATCTTCCAGGGACCTCTCTCTGCTGAGGCAGAGCAGCTCCAGCCCTGCCAGAAACCGAAGGGTTCCCTGGAGCACCCAGTCCAGCTTTGCAGACAGTTGCAACACAAGCAGGGCGGTATCAGCTAGTGGGTCAAAAACCCAGATGGGATGGGGGCAGTGGTGCCAGGCCACATCATGGCCACAAACTTACCAGTCATGACCCCGAAACAGCCACTGAGGAGTGTAAATRGGCTGGGCACTAACCAAAGTCACAGTGTTATGATCAGCCAAGTCACAGCTGCTGGGCCAAGCCATGGAGGTCCTTGTGGCACAGAGGAACCCATAAACATCCTTTACCTACAAGACGTCCTACACCAGCATCCCCACTCTGACCCAGCAGCTCCACATCTTCAGCGAGATGGAAAGCCCATATTCTCCCACTCCAGGTAGAGAAACATTCTTCATTTCTCAGAGGAGATGAGTTATAAATGCAGCACCACAAATTGTTGCTACTAACTGCCAAACCCACAGGAAATGGCAGGAAATCCGAACAGTAAGAGCTCTTTACATATTTCCTCCGAATCTCCCACTTCAAGCCTCCCCAAAACTTCAGCTGGAATAGAGACTTGGGAGATGCTTCAATCTGTTCTAAACCTGTTTGTCAAAACACAGACTCCTCACAAGCACAGCACTGGAGTCAGGAGCACTGAAATCTTGGACAGCTGTTGGGAGAGGTCACAAAAACACAGCCGTGAGTTCTTTGCCAAACATGTGTTCATGTTGTTGTTGCATCCACGATGACTCCATTACCTCCTGCAATATCCCTCTGATCTCCCAGAAAGCCAAGTGCGATTAAATAGCCTGGGAAATGGCTCTGGCTCTATTTCCAGGAGTCTTTATCTGCCTGTTTTGGAAAGCTAATGAGCTGCACTGCCTTGGGGTGAACAGGCAGAGGAGCTCCCTCAAATCAGACTTTCAGTACGGGCCTAGAAAGCAACACCAAGTTTTAAAAACTCATGGTGGCACAAAGAGGATTCAGCAGGTAACTGAAGAACGTGTACACACGCCACACTTGCTCTCCCACCGTGTACAGCGAGCAGGCAGGTCCATACAGCAATTCTGATAGAGCCTGCCACCTCTGCACGTGCTCCCTCTCAGGCCACATCTAACTCAGACCGAGGATGCTTTCACGGTGCTCACACTTTCTGGGATGTAGCACTGCAGGAATGCTTGGGAAAGCCACAAAGAGGGAGCAAGAACAGGAGAGTGAACTTTGGAGGAGAAATTTTCTCAACMCAATTCCTTCTGAATTTTCCAAAGCCATGGTCCCCTGACAATCCTGTCCATCAGAGCACTGTCCCACAACTTCAAATCCAGCTATGTYGTTTTTTTTCAGGAGAAAGGGATAGCCTTCACTTCCCCAAGCAGGTGCAACACAAGATCCCACAGGCGCTGTGCTCAGCAGCACAATACACAATTCCGAGCTGGGGCAAAACCCAGCCTCTCAGCAGGGCTTTGTCAACAGAGTTTGCCATTATCCAAATGGTGATGGGAACAGATCTGCTCYTCCAGCAAGCACAACCTTCTCGCCAGAAGGTGCTGTGCTGTGGTGAAATTCTGTTACCTAATCCACACACCAGGTAACAAACTGCTCGTGGTGGTAGAGTGGTTTGCAGGAACTTTCTCATGTCCATGGCTCTAAAAAGCCTTCTGCCCTCCTCTCCCCCTGCAGCTCACAATGCTGTACCAAACACAGCAGGTGGAAGACAACAGGCACCAACATCAATATTTGGCTGTGGGGCCACGCTCCGAGATCAGCCCATTGTGACACTCTACGAAACCCTTCAATTCTCCAGCACAGCTCAGCTGTGAAACCAGGARTAGAGGGAGCCAGAGGTGGGAAAGGTCACCCATGTGCCCCCCGCTCCCGGCTCTATCCCCCAGGCTCCATCAAGCTGTCACGATTCCTTCTGACCTGAAGGAAGGATTTGCATATGCTCCRAAGCCAGGATGACTGACAGCCCTTCCACTGTTATCCTCACTTGTGTAATTGCAGCAGCTATTCTTGTACATTGAAATGTCTAATCTTAGCAAGCCATGGAGCTGCTGGGTAATATGGACCAACCGGGAATTTCCATGCAATTACTCACCACCGCTACTGGCACTTACTTTGGCTGGTAAAAGTCCTTCTTGTCTGCTGACCCCAGGCTCTGAAAGACACAAAACACAAATGCATTTATTTTTTAACCCTTTGCCAAGCAAGCATCMCTGATGAGGAGGATGGGGAAGCAATGCAAGGCACATGTCTGTTRTTTTCCTGCCTGATAGGTCTGGGCAAGCTGGCTGGACAGGACAGCTTGGACCTCCAGCCAATACCAGCCACAGGCAGAGCCCACAGCAGCCAAGAATGTAAAACCAGAGATTTAAGCTGCAGAGGAAGGGATTCATTAGATCTGAACTYAATGTACTCAGACGTGTCTGTGTCTCCTGTCACTTGCAGAAGTGTGGCACCTTGCGTCAAGAGGAGATTCAAGTCCTTTCAAGTCTGCCCARCTGGACAGAGGACAAAGTGCAGGATCTGGTGGAGGGACTGAGCCACCACCACTGCAGAGATCCTCTGGCAGGGAAAGGGCTGAGTCCCAAGAAAACCACATCAGACCCCAAGGACTCACAAAACTGGGGAGCAGAGATAGCCCTGATGCTCACTCAGGTCCCCATGTGCCACCAAGTCCATCCCCAGCACGACAGAGAGCACCACACATGGGCTGTGTCAGTGTCCCCTGGGAGACTTCAGTCAGGCCGAGCCTCCCCGTGGGGACCCTGGGGATGATGGGCACTGCACAGACCCGCCGTGGGGTGCAGGGCTAGGCACATGCACGGCACACACAGTGTGCACAGCTCCGCACGTCCCATGGGGCCGGGTACCACACACACATGCCAGGCTCTCCCCCAGCACCACTTGTCCCAGAGACACCCGCAGAGGGGACTGGCCCCTGAGTCTGCTCCAAAGCCCCAGTGTGTGGCACGAGCTCCCTGAGCACAGAATGGTCCCTGCACTGAGAGATGTGCAGGGCAGGCTGTACCCAACAGTGGGATGCTCACAGCAGGTGGCACCAGGACAGACAGACACAGACCCACCGGAGCTGGGTGTCACCAAAGCCGTTGCACCTCCACAGCCCTCTCCTCCTCCTCCTCCTCCTTGTCCTGGGGATGATCCTTGTCCTTGCACCTTGTGGGGTGGGGGCCGGTGAGCAGCACACATGGGTGAGTGCAGGGTGGTCCTGTCCCTGTYCCCKTCCCCGTGTGTCCGTGYGTGCAGGCTGGCAGGAGCCACYCAGGCTCTGGGGCGGCTGTTGTAGTTTTGCTCCGTGGTTGCCAGGCAATGGTGAGCTCCAACTCGAAACAGSGGGAGCAGCTGGGCCGAATGCTAATCAGGGCCACAAGAGCAATCCCAAAGCTTCCCCTGGCCAGCCAAAGCCAAGGGAGCTCCCACCAAAGGCAGCAGGGAGAGGAGGACYCCAGCTTTTAAGCAGGCAGGAATTCACTGTCACCAAAACATGACCAAATGGGAGCTCTGCCAAGCCAGCAAGATGGGGRTGTGGCTCAGTGGTGCAGGACCCTCTCCATGGCATGGAAACCTTGGTTCATCAACAGCACAGTGGGGAGGCTGTGACCACCCCACAGCACAGGGGACACGGGTCCGCACATGTGACATCCTCCTGCTCAGCCCAGGGCACACAGAGCTCTTGGGGYAGAGCTGGGAGCACATGAGGAGCTCCCCCCATTTGGGGAAGGAAGCTCATTGGGAAGGGCTGGATCTGTGTTGGGGAGGGTTAGGGTGGAGATCAGGAAAAGGTTCTTCCCCCAGAGGGTGCTGGCACTGYCCAGGCTCCCCAGGGAATGAGGCTGCCAGAGCTCCAGGAGCGTTTGGACAGCGCTGCCAGGGATGCACAGGGTGGGRTTGTTGGGGTGTCCTKGGCAGGGGCAGGAGATGGACTGGATGATCCCTGTGTCTTCCTTCCAGCTCAGGAGATTCTGTGATTCTGTAGTTCTGTCTCGCCTGCCCTCCTGCCGGTATTTGACGTCCAAGAGCCCTGAGCAGCCCCCCTCCTGCTCCTCTGACCCCACAGCAGCAAGGAGCTGCAGCAAAGCCCTACAGATCAATGRCCAGACACGAAACTGGGCTGATCCAACACTGGCATAACCTGCCCAGAGAGGTGGTAGAGTCTCCATCCTTGGAGACATCCAAGACCCACTGGACATGATCCTGGGTGTCCAGGACAATCCAGTGTATGTGATCCTGCACTGAGCAGGGGATTGGGCTGAGAGATCTCCAGGAGATCCCCAGATCTCCCAAACCACTCCATGCATTCCTGAGGCAGCAGAGAAACAAGCAGAGCAGCGATTGCTCAGGGTAAGTGATGGGACCTGGGTGATGGCACCTGCCCACAGCACACCCAGAACAGCTCCACCCCTTCCACACACTCTTCCACACCCCTTCCACACCTCTTCCAACACAGCACTCCCATGTGGTATTTACTCACTTCTTTAAACTTAGCCAAAACCCAACGTCATACTTCCCAAACTGTGAATCAATTGCAATGAAGTTCCTGAGCCACAACAAATTCAGTTCCTTCTGCTCTCTGTGCTAGTGGAGATCACAGAGAACTGCTGATATTTAAGGAGGAATCACCTGCAAACAGCTTTCTCAACACTATTGAAACAACATCTGGAAAACCTGCACCCCACACAGCCAGAGCCTCCACCCAGCCACAGCTGAGGTCCATGGGAAAAGCTCCCATCAAAGCCATGGCCATGGAAAACTAAGAAGATTTTAGGTATCTAGGATAAAACAATGAGGAACTAACTTTGCAGAGAGAGAAAAAAACCCAACAAAATATTGGGTGATTACAGCAATGATGAATCAAAATTATTGATGAAGAGAATAGCAAATAAGGAGGAAAAGTAGAATTCCAGCAACTTGTCCAAGGAATGCAGCCTGGAGCAAGACCAGGAGCAGTGAATCAGCTGTACCACCACCCAAAATCTGGCCTTGAGCCATTTCTTCCCACTTAGTGCCTCAGTTTCCCATATTGTCCCTGCACAGCTCTTTGGCTCCTTACTCCCTTTCCAGAAGAGAACAGGACCATGCCCAGCWGGCAGATGGAATTGCACAGGTCAGTCCCACCACACCGCATTTCTTTCTCCCAAGCAAGCACAAAACCAAGGTGGATGGAGGCAGAGGGCTCTGGGGGAGTGTCCAGGAAAGTCCTTGGCCACAATAATCACCAGAGCAGAGCTTGCCGGAGACCTTTCCAAAGGCAGGGACATCACAGCACCCAGTAGGAGCTGGAGCACTGAGAGAGCTCTGAGCCCAGCCTGGGAAGATCCTCCCCGTTGGATCAGTGATGTCTTGGAGGGGCTAATGAGACATCACAGAGGAAACGGGCCATGGGAGGCTGTGGCACTGCCTGCTGCAGTGTCACACACAGAGGGACAGCAGCAGGACTGGGACAGTGCCACCAGTGCCACCTCAGTCCCACTGGATACCACAGTCTCAGCCACATCCACAGGAGGGGACAATAAGGGAAAAGTGGCCAAGGGAAGGGTGGGATGTAAGGAAGCAGGGTCAGGCAGAGGGAACACATAGTCTGGATCTTAGGAAAAATGTCCTGGCACTGGGCTTGAACAGAGTTCCAACGCCTCAGGTGGGAGGGGTAAGGCAGGTTTTACAGTGCCGACTAGACAAAGCAGTGCAAGGGGACAGCTCCTGACCTTACTGGAGCTGGGACTGGCTTGTGTTTCCTGCCTGTGAACTGAAACAGGCGGATGAGCAAAAGGTGTCACGGTGTTTTCCTGTGCCTTCTGGGAAGAAAGCTCCATTCCTCCTGGACTGAGAAGGGATCTGGAGGCTTCTATCAATGCAAACAAAGAATAAAAGCTCCAATGCCAGCCTGTGTGYACGCTCTGCTCTTGGATGGTCTTGGGGCTTCCTTCCAGAGGRGTAAAGTGACTGCTCGTGGCTCCCATGCATCGAGGCAAAGCTGGGGATGGCAGAGGCACAGCTACAGCATGGTGTCTCAGCTCCCAAAGCAATCTGGGGTCTCCTGCTGCTGCTGAGGAAGCTGGAAGCTCCTGGCCTTCCTGAGGCAGAGGGGGAGGAGCATCACCCAGTTCAGAGTCCCTGCGAGCCCCAGCCGCAGCGTGAGTCAGCCTCCAGCGGGACCCACTGCTGCTCCTCGCTTGCTCACTTCATTGATGACTCAGGGCTGAGGAAGCACACTTTAAGTCCCTTAATGAAATAATGGAGTAATTTTTATCAGCCTGTCTTTTTAAAACAAACACCTCAAGCGAGGCTTGCACCCATCTCCACCCTTTCCTCCTGAGACACTGAGGCGAGGGACYGTGGGTGTGGACAGCACAGAGGCACCTGTGGGGGCAGGAGCTGCCCTGGACGTGTCACTGGGCAGGACAGCCACCAACACACAGCTTCCAGACCACCCCTTTACCCCTCCATCAGGGCCAGGAGAGAAAGGTGGGACGCAAGGGTGCTGTCCCAGATGATGAATGCCCATCCCTGGAAGTGTTCAAGACCCGGTCAGACAGGGCTTGGAGCAGCCTGGGATTCCAGGAAGGTGGAACTGGATGAGCTTTAACGTTTTTTCCAACACAAACCACTCCTTGATTCTATGAATCTGGACCAAGAGGAGTGCTTGAATTTGTTCATTTAATTTCACTTTTCAGGCACTACCTGAATAATTTTGTGAGTTACACGAACGTGGGTAAGCTACCAGCCCAGCTTGCCTACAGCCAGCCTTGCTGGTCCCTGGTCAGAATTAGCACAAGATGCTGCAGACAAAAGTGATGAGTGATTTAAAGGAGTGTGCTGAATTCCAAAATTCAGCCAATCCAGGGAGATAACAGACCCAGGCTGGAAACAAGCATGCTTATGGAGGGCTAAGACAGACAGTATTGTTTTATTTATTTATTCCTGCCAGCAGACATCAATCCTGTTGTACTTTTTCCTCTTGTTAATGTTGCCAAGCATAATCTCAGCTCATCTTTTTTCTAGTCAGCGTCCCTGGGAGAACAAAGTTATTAGCAAGGCTGAAGAAGAAACCTCATGCAATTATTTAGCAGCTACACCAAAATAATCCCCAAAGACCAGTGGCTGCTCATGGGTGGCAGCTTTCGAAGTCATTCCAATAAA